ATCTTTCCTTAAATTAAATTGTAATCTGGATCTGGGCTTTCGGAGCTCCACCTTACTGCTGTGCTTTTTGAGATGTAGCAAAGCAGAGCAAGCAAAATCCTTTTTGGAGAGGCTGAGCCCAAAAAGGGGCTAGATTGCACATCGCTGGTACCTGCTGGCCAGGCTGCTGGGCAGCATCCATGGGATCGCAGGGACCGCGCAGCAGCTCCGTGTCCCCGCTCGTGCCGTAGCGTTGCCCTGCCCGTTACCTCCGCCCCAGTGCAGCCACCCAGGCTGAAGCTGCAAATCCATCCCGTGTGCACAGGCCTTATCCTGATCCCCCTGAAGCCGCTACGTGCTTCAGGCGGTGGCTCCTAACAGCTTCAAACAACCGTATTAATCTGGGACGGCCTCCCCTGCGCAGCGCGCCGGGCAGCAAGGGCGCGGGGGGCACAGCGGGAGCCGGGCGGCCAGACTTTTATGGCCACAAAGGCCACGTTGCACCTGCTAACGGTTGTGAATAGGCTTGCAGACAGCGCCAGGTGTGCCGTTTCAACAGATTTCACAACTGGGTGTGCCTTTCATCTATGTATAGAGCCCCGGCGAGGGGATGGAGCGTGCTCGGCAATTGTCCTAATTTAGCAAAACTCCTGTTTGTCCAGCGGGTCGCCCTGCTCGGTCGGCACGGGTATTTCAGGAGCAATTATATCGGTTGCCCTCGGCCCGGCCCTGGCCGTGGCCCTGCGGGAAGTCGGGGAACGCCGCTTTTATCGTTGGTGGGAGGGATGGTAATGAGGGAGCGGGCGAAAAGGCAAGCGGCCGCCTGCCAGGGGAGGGTGATCCCAGCAGCGCACGGAGCATCCCTGAGAGCCGCGGGACCCTGCGCCCCATCCCTGCGCCTGCCCCCACCGACCCCATGGTGTAATTGAGCTCGTTTGTTCAAGTGTCAGCCTCTTAGAGAAGGCATTTTGATCACACGACTCCAGTGCTCAACACCATGAGACCCGGGAGTAGCTCAGGGCTTGCAGATACTTTACAAATAAGGTAATAAACAACAAAAATAAACAAGGTCCATGTATGCGCAAGGTGCTGGTGACATCTCTTCTGAAACCCAACAGCAGCCAGGCAGCGACATCACGTTCAAGATTTTATAATTTCGGGCTTCATTAGAAGCCTGAGTCATAATCTCAGGTTCATTAGATTATCTCTATAACCCAAAGCCACACCATAAAATGAGAGAGATGCTAAGATCTGTTTTTTAAATGAGGACCACTCAATCGTACTCAATAATAGAAAGACGCTGATCTCATGGAGATGGTTGGATGAGATCAGATAAGAGTTTTGCAGGCTGGAGTCAGTATTCATTAACAGCAAATGGGGACTCTGTTTTATTCTGAACTGTCTGCTCTCCACGGACATATGTGTGGTGGCACGTCCGAAGGACGCATCTAAAACACAGACGTGATTTCGAGCTTCCATTAGGAGCACTTTTTTCCTGCCTGGGCTTGGCCGATGTATATTGGATTTCTCTAATTACAATCTTTGAAATGACTCCTGATGAGAGAAGTGGCATCTGAATTGCTCTGGGTTTATTTTTATAAATATGAATCATCTACTGTTTTGAAAAAAGTTCAAGCCCTTTCTCCCACATTTTCAAATCTTCCTTATAAAAATCCCCACCAAAATTAGCAGGGAATAAGGAGAAGGATGAAGATATATTTACATTTAGTACTGCAAAGCTGGACACCAGCTACAGCACAGCTTTATGTACAGCTTTCACTACATTGCATCACTGCTGCTTCTGTGGAAAACTCCCAAATCATGGAAGGAAACCAAAGTAATTCCTCGACCATTTTGCTTCTGTTTGAGCTAACTGCAAATTGCAGGGATGGCCAGGCAGAGCGCAGGGCCTGGTCACAGCATCCCTTTGGGGTGTAAAGGCTCCAGAGCCACCGCAGTTCCTGGGCTTTTGTAGGTGTCTGCCCCGTGGACCCCTGGGGAGGGACGGACTGGGAGGTACGGGCAATGCTGCTCAGCTTCTCGCCCGGCCTTCTGGATTGTGGGGAGGTGCTGAGGGACTGCCTGGCTCACGCAACTGCCTTCTGTCATGATTATCTGGAAAAGAAATAGCAATTGCATTAACAAACGGTTAGTCTGAACCTGTAGCTTCCATCTGCGAGGTCGCCTGGGAGCACAGCGGTGCCATGCAGCTGTCCCTGTGCCCGCGAGGGCTGCGGCTTCCCTGCCCACGCACCCCTCCATGTCCTGCACCATGTGTCCCCCTTCCCACCCAGTGACTTCCCACTCTCATCCCACACCTGGGAAAGCCCTGCTGCTGTCTGGGGGTGGTGGCTCCTTGGTATCACCCTGCACAGCCCCAGGGCTGGGCTGTGGAGCAGGCAGGCTTCAGGCACCTGCAACTTCCAAGCCCTCCACCCTCCTGAGTGATGGGGATCAGCCTTCTGCGGACTGGCAGCAGCAGTTTGGGCCAGATTCTGGCAAGTCTGGCACTGCCCTTGGTGCTCCCCTGACGCACACACACCCCTCCTTGGGTAGGGCCGATATGTTAGAGGGACAGCCGCAGCACCTTGGGTGGGCGAATACGCGTGTTTCAAACTGTCCAGCTCAAAAACCTGCAGTCAGGGCACAAGCTGCGCGATGCACACGGAGATTTCAGGGCCTTCATCCTCCCCCTCGCTGGGTAGTGCCATTGCTCTCTGGTAGCCCAGGAGCCCACAGTTCATGATGTGCACGTTGCACAGTGACACAACAGACCCAGTGCTGGCTGACCTGCCTGCTCCAGGGGCGCACCGACGGGTCCAAACCGAAGCCAGGTGCTGGTGCTGAGATTTGAAGGCACTTCTAGACAGACTAATCAGTGAAATGTGTATTTAGTCTGATGAATCACACCTCGAACGCTTGTCACCCACATGGGTGGGTCAAAGCCCTGGGCTTTCCCCAAGGTCGTTAATGCAATGGGAATGCGCCTCGTGAAGCACCGACTCCGGGTCCTGGATGCAGCACGGGAGGAAAGCTTTCACCATCGCACGGAGCCTCATTAGAAGTGGAGTTTTGTCCATTTGTAATTCTGGGGCAAACGGTATAAATACATAAATGCTGCTTTGAAAAGCTTCAAACTCTTGACGCCCCTCCACTACACCCATTTATTTTTCCAAATTACTGCATTATACAGCAAAAAAGACTTTTGACATGTATACGCACACATTTAGCTTGACACTAAAAGATCAACAAGCTACTGCGCAATAATTTCGACAGAATCAAATAGATACTTTGGTAACCACAGCCTGGAATAAGAGACATTATTTATTACACACATTGTAGTAGTATTTAAAGGCCTCAGCAGCAATCAGGACACATTGTACCGGACACTGCAATGATGCAGAGCAATGGAGACCCCACCCTAAAACACCTTCCAATGTGAACATATCAGACAGACAGAATTTATTTGCTTTTCATGATAACTCAGCCCTTGACTCACCACAGACCAAGCACAATTCAACACAAATGTGTCTGAACTTTCACAAAAGGTGTCTGACTCCCGCAAAGGCTGCTCTTTCTCCACTGGCTTTCCAAGCATCTTTCCACTCTGTCAGTGGCAGAAGCAGCAAGTACCAGTTCTAAAAACTTTTTTTTAAAAAAATTATTTCTTTAGACACCTATTTAGACATGCAGTGGTTTTAAATCAGCCATTGGATACCATCAGGCATCTGTCCTGCATTTATTCCAGTTGCTATATGGAAGTCTGCATTTTCGCAGTACTCACCTTCTAAACACACTCAGTTCCTCAGTAATCCTAGAGGCACATATAATGCAGGTATGTTAATTAACATTAAGTCAGTGAAAAACATAAACCAGTGCATAATTAAATTGCCAGACTTGATTCTCTTTCCTTCATGCTCTTAACAGTTTCCCATGACAAAGAGTCCACATCTAAACTACGCTGATAGAACAAATAATATACATCCTAATTAGACCACTTTATTAAATCAAATTGTGTTGCTCAGTACGTCTGTGCAGGTTGCACGGGCTTCAATGTAAACTGCTCAAATGATGATAAAATCTCTCAATAAAGCACGTCCAATCATTTGATTTCAAGGCGCGTAATCAGAGGGGTAAGTCCCATTCTTCCCATGTGGGCGATAAGGAAATCGAGACCTCAGAACACCTCAGATAAATCACTTGTATTAGTCACCTCAGAGTCAAATTAAAAGAATTTGGCCTCTTCAGTCCCACTCCAGAGGACAAAGTTTGATCCAATTAATCAAGTATTACCCATAAAACAAACAAAGCAGCATATGTTCCTGTAGAAGCCCCCATCATTCATCCCTCTATCACCATCACACCAGTGTTATAGTGGGAACAGACAGAAGCACATAATCTTACAGCTGCTCTATTGTCAAAATGACACATTAGCCGAAGGATTTACAGACATGTTTGCTTACAAAATAAAGGTTTTTGTTTGCATTTCTGAACGTGTTTTCTCTGCACAGGAGTGATGCACCACAGAGAAAGCTGCTCCCAAAAAGCTGCTCCCCGAAAGCTGTGCACAACTCAGGAACGCAGTTAGGATATCTGCCTATCTGCAGTTAGGATATTGCTGCCTCCTCCCCCAAAATATCAGAAACTACAGTGAATACACAGCTGCCAGTACGTACAGACCACAGAGACAGGCTGGTATAGCAGCTGCACTGAGGTCCCCAGCACCTCTTCAGTATAGTGGTAGAGCAGTGCCATGAAAAAGGAGAGCTGGACATGTTTTGCTGTTGTGTAAAAATCAGCATTTGCCTCTCAGAGGCAAATCCTGGGCCTGGTGAAGCCAGTAAGTGTTTTGCTAATGATGGAAATTGGGTCAGGATTTTAACTGAGATTTTACTTCCAAATTTATTTCAAGAAAGATTTGCTCTGCAAAAAGTTGAGTCGATCAAGGCAGGCAGACGTGCAGTTTTCTGTATCCACAGAACCAGCAGGAAAGCTTTTCTTAAAATCATGGTGCTTCGATTTTATTTTTTTGGTAGCGTGGGTGCTATGTTGTTTTGGAACCACGTGAAGCTGAAGATGACACCCATCGTCTTCGGGAGAGTCTCATCATAAGCAAACTTCATGGAGTCTTCTAAAGGTATTTCTACAACTTCAATGAGCTCTCCTTCTTCAGGCTGCCCACCTCCTTCACCGGTTCTCATCTGGTCTGTTACTTCTGCATAAAATAACGTCTGCCTAGAACCTGTCACACCGACTCCAGACCTGGAAAAAAGCAGAGAGGAAACTTTGTTTTAGATACAAAGAAGGTAGCTAGGAACTTGGGATGCAAACCTGGGTCCTTAACTTGTGTCACCAAGCAACATCAAAACCCTCACTCCCTGCTAATGTCATTTAGAACCTATAAATGCAATTTCGTTAACACAGAAATGGATTGCAACTTTCACGCAGAAATACCAACACTTTTCAATACAGTTGCATATGAAATGGATCTGTCTTCCAATGTATTCTGCAACTTTGGAAAAATGTTAGTTTGTGAGGAAAATTATAAAAAACAGCTTTTGAATTGGTGAACTGTTTTTCTACATATACTGAAGTCAACTGACCTTAGTGTGAGCTGGACTGCACGATGACTCACAGAGGTTTATAAACAACAGAAGGAAGCTCCTCAGCGTATCTGTATATTATCACGCTACATTTGTTTGCTTGTTTTTACACAAATATTTAGATTTTTTACTCTTAAGAAGATTATGTCCATTCACAGCTGGAGTCCTCTACTCATGGACTGGATAGGTACAAGAACAGGAGGCAGCCTGAGAGTCCTTCTCTATCCTTCCTGAACTTTAGCCTTGACCCAAATGGACCACTGTAAGCACGCATGTATCTCAAGTAATCTCAAGTAGTCTCAGTCTCCCTGCTAAATTTGCTACAGTGGATTTAGTTGAAGATATTTTAGATTATGTAGTCTTTCTTCAGCTAGACCCCTTGCTGTGTATTATACTTCTTATTTGTTAATCCTCTATTTCCTTAGGACTATTTCATTTAGGTATTATTTAAGTACATAATCCACTCATTTAGTCCTTCCAAGGAAATATTCACATTGTAATCGCAACTTCTTCATTTCACATGATTACAAGTGACTTTTCACATTGAATTTGGATCTAAAGTTCACAGAAACTACGAATCAGGCATTAAGGCAAGCTGAAAAATTAGCTTTCATATTATTATACATACAAAGGATTCCAAGATTTGTAGCAGTGCTATGATCTTAGAAGTGTATATCCATACTTAACCGTTAGTCAACTGAATCTTCTAGTTAATCCAGCATAAATCACACACCAGAGCAAGAATTAATCATTTGTCTCTCAATTTTCCAAGAGCACTGGCAATTATTTTGTCTGGAGAATTAACAGTGATTATCGAAGTTGGTTTCTTACATCAATATACACTCTTTTTCAAAACACAGAATGGGGAATGAACCAGTGAATTCTTTTCCTAAAACTACTGATACATTCTGTGACTTTGGGAAAGATGTGTCACAACTCCAGGAACATTCCTGTACCTCTAAGTGCTTGAGAAACTTGAGCACCTTTGACACTTCCAGGAATGTCGAAGGCTGCTATGGGATTTCTTTCATTCCAGGCTCATCACTTTGTTTCAGTAGTGGGGTGTTTGATACACGTTTTCACCAACAAAATGTGACCTACTAGGATGCAATGAGAGGCCAGGCTAACAGTTTTCCCTCTCTCTTCCACTCTCACTGGAGTACATGACCTCCTTCCTCAGTCAATCTGATTCAGTATTTACTTTCCCTAAGGACCTCCTTTCTGCAGCCACTGTCCTTGAGATTTATATGCTATTCTGATGACCATCAGAGATGGTTTGCTAATAAAAGAGCCATCCAGGGCTGACCATCATCCACAGACTGTACGTGCCACTGGCACCAGATCAAATGTCTTCTCAGGACCCCTTGTGCCACACTCCCTTTTCCCTTTTCTGGTGGGAAACTGCCTGGAAGAGTAATGCCGTTCGCCAGCCGTGCTGCCACTCACCTCACCACCACTGAAGACCCAACCAGCAGACAGCACAACACAAACGCAGCCTTTGAAAGCAGCCCAAGTTGCACACTGGGCCCACCACGCTGCCTCAATCATTCTGATCCCGTTATAAAAGTAAAGTAGATTCATTTTTCATCAAGTTGCTATCAGCAACCGGCTTGCAAAAGTCGGAATGCTATTTTTTACGCTCAGTGTCCTTTCTGCCGTGAGGATGATGGCATGCTTTACTAGATTACCTTTGTGTTAAAATACAACATCTTTTTCTTGGTATTATCGAGCAATAACATATAACGTTAAAAAGCAACACTAGAAATGAAATACTGATAAAGAGCAAACAGATCTATTTCACAGTCCATCGTGGCTGGTTATTTAAGCTCTAGGCATTCAGTGAACAGTCTCCCTCAGCTTAGTCACCTTGGTAATGTCACTCACCACTGACCGTGTGCTACCTACTACTCCAGTGGTTGCCATGTCCATTGGAAGGAGCGTCACTGAGAGAACGTATTTGTAACGGAACAGTAGATTGTTCATTTTTTGTTCCCTCTTTTCCTTCTTTTTGTGTGTCAGGAGGCAGAAAGGATTATTTTTTTAAAACAATTAGAGATCCCGATCTGTATTTCTCTATCCGTAGTGACTACTCATTCTTCAACTGTTTCTGCAAGAACGGCGTTTTTAGTAATTAAATAATCATAGGAAGACTGGGGTTCAGAGATTGTTTTTTGTTAACTGATAGTAAGAACAAAACCCACATGTTAGTTTATATTTTAAAATTTGCAAAACAAATAGCCTGCTACACTCCACAAGTACCATGAAAAATCACAGGACGATGCATAATATATTTAATGTTATGTTACTTCCGACGAGAGTAAAGTCTGAGCTTCATCTGGGGTGCCCCACCTGGAGAATGAAAATGCTCTTGAGTACGCTCATGTCCACCTGATATTGTGTAAGGGTTATATAAAAAACAGAGACTTTATTTAAGAAGCCCTTCTATAAGAGCGTCTGGCTTGATTATTTACAGAATAATCTCCTTCTGTGCCACCTGTGACCCTTTACTTATGACATAGCTGCAGCTCTGGAAATCACAGGAGTTCAGTTTACACACATCTTTAAAGTAAAGGAAAACTACTTCCTGAGGTGCTACACCGTAAGATTCAGTTTCTTGCCACTGTGGCTCAAATAGCACGGAGTGATTCCGATATGCCATCATTTCAATGTATGTACTCATATGATACTTCTACTAAATCAGAGTTTCTTTTCTTACGAGCTAAACACATTAAGAGTGGCTACTACACTGAATGTACTTTAAAAGAGCAAAGCACTGGACACCAATGCCTTTCCTTTGTTACACGACCAAAGCTATGGCATTTCTTCACATGTGCTGGCCTATCATTTGCCACAGAAACCAATGACAAATCTGCAGCAATACATATTCGAGTAAGGACATACTCACATGTTCATTCTTACTTATTTGATTACCTAACTTACCTTGCTCTGGTGCAACTTTGCCATGAGTTATTCATTAAAAACTAATAAAGACTTCTAAATGAGCTATAAATAAAATCAGAGTGATGGTATTAATGCATTAGCGTGACCAGCAGGTCGAGGGAAGTGATTCTGCCCCTCTACTCTGCTCTCGTGAGACCCCACCTGGAATACTGCGTTCAGCTCTGGAGTCCCCAACACAAGGACATGGAGCTGTTGGAGCGGGTCCAGAGGAGGGCCACGAAGATGATCCGAGGGCTGGAGCACCACTGCTATGAAGACAGGCTGAGAGAGTTGGGGCTGTTCAGCCTGGAGAAGAGAAGGCTCCGGGGTGATCGTATAGCAGCCTTCCAGTACTTAAAGGGGGCCTACAGGAAAGCTGGAGAGGGACTTTTTACAAGGGTGTGTAGTGATGGGACAAGGGGCAATGGCTTTAAACTGAAAGAGGGAAGATTTAGATTGGATATAAGGAAGAAATTTTTTACATTGAGGGTGGTGAGGCACTGGCACAGGTTGCCCAGAGAAGTTGTAGGTGCCCCATCCCTGGAAGTGTTCAAGGCCAAGTTGGATGAGGCTTTGGGCAACCTGGTGTAGTGGAGGGTGTCCCTGGCCATGGCACGGGGGTTGGAACTAGATGATCTTTGAGGTCCCTTCCAACCCTAACCATTCTATGATTCTATCATTCTATGTTATTCTAATCTGCTCTTCCCCAGCAAACTTGAAATTTCTAAGACTACTCAGAATCCCCTCACTATTTAGACAGGTGTCTGTGGAGACTATTGCATGAAACTATTCATGTACATATTCACGGCTTTTATTGTCTAACTATATGTCTGTTTCAATGGTTTCAGAAAGAGGTTTAAAGATACAGGAATATACTTTAATTCATAAAAAAGGCAAATTTCTTACTTTTTTTTATTCGATGTTCCTTTCTCTAAATGCTCTGCCTTACTCTGCCAGTTGAAATTTTTGCACGGATCCATGCAGAACGCCCTTTACTAAATTAAATGTTCTCCAGTATTGCCTACTGCTGTCTTTCACAACATTTCCAGACTCTTAAATACTAATGTTTCCGGCCTGTCCTTAGAAAATTGTCCAAAAATCAATGCTATTGACATTTTGTTTGTCTTAGTACTGTTGATTTTTATGGAAATCAAAAGTTAGCAGGTTTGTTGCTTTGAAGCTGTTCTGAGCCGCCATCTGGCTGATGTAATAAAGTGGGTTAACACATACCCTTGGAAAACATGTATACATTTCAGTGATTTCAGGTACCGGAGACAGAGGAGGAATAGAGGAGAGAGGGAGAAGGTGGGTCTGACTAGAAAAGAGGCAAAAGGCTGCTTTTATGCTTTCGGTATGCTTTTAGGTGTATCTGTCTCTAGGAACTCCCTATGCTTTTGCACACTTACTTGTGCTTTCTGAGTAGGATGTTTAGGGAATTCTGATGTGCATTTATTCATGGTTCTATTCCTTTCTCTGCTACCTTCTTCCTCTATCCCAAGTCTGTGACATATGCTTTTCCTTGCCCTAGCATTTCACATTACTAATAAAATGCTTTTGCCATGGTCTGAAATGAGTCACCTATTAACAGATTACAGCTATATTCATTAGCTCTGCATCTGTGGAAATCACAGGGGTCAGTACACCCGAACTGCAAGTGATGAGTTTCACCCTGGGAAAACTACCTTCCTGATAGAGGTGTCTCCCCTTCCCAGTATAGGA